CCCTCAGCGGTGGTCCTGGCTCTGCAGCCTCAAAGCCTGGATACCTGCTTTGATTGTCCTCGGTCGGGTTCAGGCCTGGTTTTTGCTCATACATCCCAGAAAACAGTGATGGGGTTGTTTCGCATTTAATACTTAAAAGATCTTAAAATGTACACCTTCATATAATAGCCTTTATTGGAGCTTTTAAAATCAGAAACCAAGACTGTTTAAGGTAAGATTTTGTAAGAATAGTGGAAACTTAGAATTGAAGGGAAGCTTGAATCATGCTTAGAAATATCCCAGTGCTGGGAGGGCTGTGCTGACATAGGTGGGGTCTGGGGGTTTCTAGGGGGCCCTGCAGAGAAGAGCTGGCCCAGTTGGAAGCAGGGACTGGGGAGCGAGGCTGGGGGCCGGCAGGAGCACCTCGAGGCCTGGTGCAGCTCAGCACGTGGCTTGACTCAAGATGGGGAAGAGTGAAGGTGGGGAGGAAATGGAGAGAGGAGCAGGTTGGGGGTGGGGAGGAAATAGTTTTCGGTAGGCTGATTTTGAGATTCCTATTAGACTCCCAGTTAAAATGCCCAGTAAGCAGTTACACCTCCTGGTCTGGAGCTCACGCTGAGGTCTCTGGGAGTCAGTCACACAGATGGCGTTAAAACCCTTAAGCCCGGTGAGACCACCAAGGGAGGTGAGAAGGTAGGAAAGACGTCCAGGACTGAGCCCTGGGCAGCCCCTGCTTAAAATCACACTTCTCAAACTGTTGTGTGTGTAGGAACTCCAGGCGAGGGTGTTAAAATGCCTGTCTCACAGTAGGTCTGCTGGTGTGGGTCTCCATGTCCCGAGTTTCTAAGGGACTCCCGGGTGACATGGATGCCGGGGATCTAGAGACCCCCCACTGAGGAGGGAGGGCCTCGTGTGTCCCAGACAGATGGGAGTGATGGACGAAACGAGCGTGCCTCTTCAGTCCATAAAAATGATTATTTTTAACCAACATCAGTTTTCCAAGTCACTGTTAACTCTAATGGTTTTAGAATTAGCCTCATTGTTTCTTAAGTACAGAATTAACATTTCTCTTCACACTTGAGAAGGCCTTATGTTCCAGATCATAAGTGGGCGAGTCAGATTCTCGTCACAAGCTGAGAATGTGGCCTATCCGAAAACGGAAGCGTTCACACCCCAGTGCAGTCAGGATGCACGGAGGCCTGCGTTGTGTAAGGATGCGTTAACTCCGGGCCTTGCAGCATCCGAGGCAAAACTGCTGTCCCCAGAAATTACAGGAACATCGAAGAGCTCCTGATTTTCACTCTTTGGTTTGGAAAAAACCCAAAACCCTTCATTTTTAATTGGGTTCCCTTACTCATGAGAGCAATTCTACAAATTCAGAGAGGCTAAATTATCACAAAAACCTAAATGCGTGGCGTCTGCACTAACGAGGTTTCACGGACAGAGACGGTGCTCAGCTGTGTGGGAGCCACGCTCTCCTGTTAAACCAGAGAAGCCTGGTGGTGTGGCTGGCGCTGGGAAGGCCATCTTCCCCTCACTGCTACTTTAGACCTAAATGAAACAATAGACAAGTTCCTTCTAGGGGGTGGGATTGCGGATGGGAGGTGAGCTGAGAGCCGCGCAGTACAGGGAGGGATCCCCAGAAATGTAACAGCCCCCCACCCCCTGCGCACACCCGCCTCCACCACGCTCCTGCTTGCAAATATCTCAACAAAACCAAGGAGTCTCTTGGGAATGTGATGTCTAACACTTTCTGTCACGAGATGTGGATGCTGGCCGAGTGTGTAAGGAGCAGAGCTCTGCACCCCGAGGAGTTTGGTTCCCCCCGGCAAGCGGAGAGCAGGGCGTGGCTTTGCGGGCAGGCGCTGGCGCCCCGGCAGCTGGAAGCTTTGCTGTTGAATTTCTTCCTTCTAACCTGTGCAACAAACGTGGAGGTGTTTTTAGAAGATTCAAAGCGGCCCATTAGGGCAGAGGAAATAGCGTGTGTTCTGAGCTGTTTGAAAGAGACTGCAAACCCGTATTCCGTTGGCTAGACGCAGAGGCTTCATCAGAGTCGCTTTGAGGTGTCGCCTGCCCCCTTCCCTAGCTCAGTGACAGCGGTGCCGCCTCCCCTTTGGAACTTCCTTGCCCTGGGCTCCCGGGACCCCCGGCTTCCCCGCTCAGCAGGCTGTGCTGGGTCCTTCCCCTTCCCCTTCCCCTTCCCCTTCC